ACACATTTCTGCCATTGTGTGATAGACACCCTGGGAACAGGTCTTCCTCTGACCCCTCACACAGAGGGCTTTCTTGCACTGACAGTCTCTTTCAATGGGCCCGCCTCTGCCTCTCATTGTGGCTCACCACTAATGGAGAGTTTTCTGTGAGCATCCCATTCTGTCATCCTGCCCGGTAAAGTGGAGTTCTTCCCTGGAAACCTTCAGCCTTTCCTACAGGGGGAAATGGAGATGCTTTTGCGGTGGTTTCATGTATTTACTATTTTTTGCTCAATAATAGTACAATCCCTCCTTTATAAGGTAGAGTTCACATTTATTAGCTGATTGGTTGAGCTCAAGGTGTCTTTTTTTTCTGCAGAAAGAGTTAATCAAAATTGGAGTTGTGCTTGTTTTAGCCCTTGTCTTTTAGCTTGAAGGTAATCTGTTCCCAAAAGGTTGACTAAATTAACTTGAGTCAATTTAACTGTAGCAAACATACGTTTAAAATTGAATCATCTTCTTCCAAGAAAACATTTCTAATGTGTGTGTAAAGTTGATTTAGTTCAAGGCAGCATGTGGCGGATATAGTTCAGTTTGAAATCACATCCTGTCAACTTTTAGATCTTTACTTCATTACTCCAAGATGAATGGAGACTGCAGAGAAACCAGACACTGTCACATCAATAAAGGAATGAAAGTGTATTGAAATACACAGATAATTTTAGCAACGGAAGATGCTGCACAGAGACCAGCTCTGTTTCAAGGTTCATTTCCATACACATTTGGCTCATGTATTTGAGCACTAAGTGTTCTCAGCACCGGATGTGCCAGCATGTGTCCACCACCTTGCCTACAATCACATGAATAGCACACTTTCAAACAAAAGTAAAGCATGCATAACCAGCATTTTTGGTGTTCTATCCAGACAATTCATTTGGAAGACACTTTTGCTGGGTAACAAGCAAAATGCCTAAAGCGCAACATTAATATGTCAAAAGACTATTTTTAAGTATTATAGTTACAATCATGTTCTGTTTAGGCTGTTTACATGAGAACGATTTCGGGTGAAAGCGTAAAAATTTTTTCGGATGTGGCTTTCGTTTACACGTCGACAGCGTTTTTGGGGCTTGAAAACGCAAAAAAATGAAACCACCCTCCAGAGTGGAAATCTTAAAAACGCTCCACCGCCGCGTTCCTGTCTAAATGGCAAAAATGCGAATCTGCTCCCGGTGGCTCTCGTCGCGTACGCGTTTACGTCACAGGCATGCGCCAGTACAGGAAAATAACGACCAACATGTCGGATTATTTCCATACGTTGGACCTTCAAGTTGCCCTAGCAGCTCTGTTTAACATACAAGAGTCTTTTCTGCAGTTGTACGAAATATTCTCAGATAGTATTACTGATCAGAGAAGGCGCATTGAAGGTTGTACGCAGGCACGCGGACTTACGCGGCCTTCACACTGGCAGTTGAAATCAGCTCCGTAATACGCAAGACGTTCTCAACGGATGTCGTACTACACAGTGAAAAGCGTCGGACGCGGGTAGAACAAAAATGGTGGAGAGATTAAAGTTTGATTCTGTCAGTTCTGTATGATCTCTCTGATGAGGGTTACGCTGCGTGAGGAAAGTTGCTGAGGACGTTGACATGTCAGGTCGGCTAAAAAAATGTGATATAGTGGTCAGTAGTTCAATATCTACCTTCAATTTAATTGTATTAACTGCCCTTATAAACGTTAGAAAGTCATGAAAATAAAAAATGACATGACAACTTATCGTTATAAAATCATAATTTATTTTATTAAAAGTTAATAATTCAGGTTTGGTTGTCAGTACCATAGCAACGCTCAACTGGAATTGTCGGATAGGAACCGTCCGTAGCTTTTCGCAAGAGTTCAAATTTTTGAACGCATCCGGATGACCAACGGACACGGTTTTCTTCGCACCGCACTCGGTCGGACCCGTTTCGGACCCATTCGCATGCGGTCTGTGAATCTCCATAGGAAATGAATGACTTCCGGTCTTTTCGCAGCCGCATCGGAGCTGATTTCAACTGCCAGTGTGAAGGCGGCGTTAGTGTTATTGTGTGGCAGTGCTTCACATTGCCACCTAGCTGCCTGGAGTGCATACTACATCGAAATTTACACACTTTTGCGTCACTATATACACACACGCAGATTTCCCAACCATTACACTCGTCTAGACGCAGAATAAAAAGTCAAAATGCAACGCCACTTTTGGATTTTCTCTTCAGATCGTTTCCGTGTAAACATAGCCTTAGTTGCTAAGTCAGTTTTGACTTTCATTCAGTTATGGTTCAGTGTTTGTTACTATGGTTTCTGGTTAGTGCTCCCTGTTAATGCTCATTTCCAGTGTATTTAAGCCCTCAGTTTCCTCAGTTCGGTGTTCTGCAGTGTTTAATGTTCTGTGTGTTTATTAAAAGTTTGTGGCATCTGTCAGGAGTTAGTAAGCAATGAAGTAATGTCACAGGAGTAGCGAACTTGTTGTTTACCCATTCACTTCCGTCCTCACACACATTACAGTACATCATTACGCAATCATGAACACAACAAAGCGCTTTTTATTGTCCATTTTGCGTCATACATCTCATCTTTGTAGACTACTGCACGCAACACATGATGACAGTTATAACAATCTGATCACAGAAGCTAAAATATGTGAAGAGGTGAGTTGAGTTTACATGGCCTGTTTAAATTCCCCCCAAGCAGCTTCTGAGTGCTGTGAGGCAGATTAATGACCGCAGACGTGGACTCTGGACGCTAATGACTGCAACACACCACCAGCTGAGTTTCCCCACAACCCTCTTTCCTTCAGGTGTGGCTGTGCAACCGTTAGCTTCAGCTTTAATTCATCATCTAGAACAAGCCGCTTACAGTCCCACAGGACACGCTGTCCTTCATTATCCAGAAGGTCTAAAGCGACTAATTTCAGATGTTCAGAGTTTTCTCTGACAATGTCTGGTTGTAATCAGGATTAGGCTATATTGTGTGTAGGAGTTTGGCTATACTTTCAGCAAAATGAACAATGATAAGTATTCCAAACTCTAAAATGAAAATTTAATCGAAACCTTAAAACGTTTGGAAATTATTATTTACTCAACCTTGTTTTCTTCAGTCTTCTTCAGACGTTAAGGCTTTTCAGTAGCCTCAGAAGTATCTGTTGCCTGCATAGAAGAGGTGTTTATTTGAAAGAACGATAGAATATTGCACATCTTTTAAGCAAAGCAGTTCACAAAAGGAAGTTTGTTGGATTATAAATGACAAAAGATGTAGTGATGACAAAATATTTGGACACTATGTTGTTGTGAGACATGTCCATAGTTAATGCGATAAAATCACCTTCACATCCCTTGATTAAGAGTCTTGTCAACTCTTGTCATTTGCTATCAGATGACATTTGGTTTGATATTTGACATTTTAAGTGATCTAAGCATCCAAATACTTTTTTTTTTAATTATCCATTTAAAGTGAACAGCCTTCATGTCTAAAAGTGCATATTGGTGTAATTGGCTTAATATTTCTCTTAATATATATATATATATATATATATATATATATAGGCTATTATATATTTCAAAGTGTTCCACGTTCACGGTTCACCAATGACCCATGATATCCCAGCACATGAAACGTATATTTATTAAAAAAATAATAGGGTGATGTTTAAACTGTAGTAGACCCAAAAAATGATCATGTTGTTTCAAACCTGCATGATTTTTTTTCTTCCATGAAACACAGAAGGAAATATTAGACAGTATGTTCTTTTTTGTACCTAAATTGTTTCATTTACTGAAATATTGCTATTAAACCAAGTTGAACCCCATTTTTTATTGTTGGCATATACAATGTATTGTATTGGAATGGGTGCAAAAATATACATTAGAAGAATAAACATCTATAGACAGTAAACAGGAAAGAATATATTCATATGTTCATTGTGTATTGGAGAAGTACAAATATATATTTATACATAGTGTACAACTTTGTGTGATTCAAGAGAATACTGCACACACACAAATAAAGAGCCATTCGTTCCTACAGCCACATATTTATGGTTTCTATTCAAGTCATGTTTGTCCTAGACTATACTTCCCTTTTGTCCCTGTTGTCTGTCTGTGGACATGCTGTCAAGAATCAACTCTTTGGCCTTGTTGCACAGTATTTTGTCCCCTCTTCTGTTGGCATCTGATTTGGCTTGAGAAAGCGGTCCGGATTTATATAAATATGCTAAATACTGTATTTAAAAGGTTGATGCAATCATCCCCAACCCCTAACCCGCATGTAAATCTGAGTGCTTGTCAAATATGTCAAAATATACTTGAAGTTCCCCTGAGATTTTAAATGAAAATTAATTTAATTTGCGTAATTTCACTTGTGTCAGTAACTTGATGTCGGTTGATGTTACATGACGTGCAAGCACGCAGATAAAACATCTAATCTTGTTTTAGCAAGGGTTTTATTTGGATTGTTTTTAATTTAAAAATGATTTGCTGCACGACTTGTCGTACATTTCCATTGCGTTTTGAACTGCTATATGACATTTCATTTAATTCCATATAAAAATGTGTCATATTGCAACTGCAGAAAAGACTACACTCAACTTTTAAGGATGTTCACTCGTGTGTTCAACCTTTACAAGAACCTACTAACACTAATTTACAAAGCCAATTTTATGTTGAAAAAAATTATTCACTTTCCAACATTCAAACCTTCAAACTTTTATTTTGGCAGAATACTGGTGAAATGCTGTAAAAGTCTGTCCACTAAAATGTTGACAATTATGCAAATGTAAATGAATTGAACCAGAGATGTTTGCGAGAACCAGTATTTAAGGCCCTGATATACTCATATTTATATACTCACAGCTTTTGATTACATAATCTTGCTATTTCAGTTATATGTGAATTAATTTTGCAGCCCCATTTGTTTATTTGAAGTAAATGCCGCGGCAGAGCGTGTGAAGCGCTGGAGTAAATGATCTGACAGATGCTTATGTCCTGCAGGTCTGAGTGTTTGTGAAGTGGCCTGAGTCGTGTGGATCTTCTGCTCCCCTGTCCCAGGACCCTGAGCTCAGGCTGAATAGCTCCTCCGTCACCCCAGACTGGACCTCTGAGGCGTGGGACCCGGTCCAGGACCCCAGACCCCCTCCGGCCCACGGGCACATCGGCACTTTAGCACCGTCTGCCAGTCATGAGTGAATTCTGGTTGTGCTTCAACTGCTGTATCGCCGAGCAGCCGCAGCCGGTAAGAGGAACAAGCATCACCTCCAGCCTCTATAACAAACCCAAACCCTTATCCCAGTTCCTGTTCAGTTAAAAGTTCTCTCGCTTTCTTTATCATCTGTCAAATCCACTTATAATATTAGTCTAGGTATCTTCAACCATAAACATTCATAATATTGTTTTTTTCATGACCATTTTCAGTCCCACTTTATAATAGGTTTCTTTAGCTATTGGGTTCTAGGTTGTGATACGGTAAGGGTTAGCCCTAGGTTTGAGATTTGGTAACACCAACCATGCAATTACATGCAGGTATTTAAAGGAAAGTACAATGTAACTACATAAACGATAAGTATATTGTACCAAATGTTCTGTATACGTACTTAAAGATATACATATATAAAGTGGGTTCCTTTTTCCTTTCTCTCTGGCTAAAATTATTTAAAATATGCAAAAAAAATACACTACCGATCAAATGTTTGAAATAACTATGCATGTTTTTAAAAGAAGTCTCTTCTGCTCACCAAGGCTGCATCTATTTAATAAAAAAATACAGTGTAAATAGTAATGTTGTGAAATATTATTACAATTTAAAATGTCATTTTTTCTATTTAAATTTTAAATTTAAAATGTCTTTTTTCTATTTAATTTATTCCTGCGATCAAACCTGAATTTTCAGCATCATTACTCCAGTCTTCAGTGTCATTCTCAAGGATCAAAACTTTTGAACTGTAATGATATTTCACAATCTGACACAATATTTTTAGCCTTGGTGAGCAGAATAGTCTTCTTTCAAATCACATATATATTTTTTTTTAACATTTTGACTTGTAAGAGTGCGTGAGTCGGCGAGAGTGAGAGTGTGCGAGAGTCCACTAGTGTGAGAGTCTCCTAGTGTGAGAGTGTGCGAGAGTGTGAGAGTCTGCTAGTGTGAGAGTGTGCGATAGTGCAAGAGTGACAGTGTGTGAGTCTGCGAGAGTGTGTGAGAGTGAGAGTGTGCAAAATTGTGAGAGTGTGAGAGTCTGCTAGTGTGAGAGTGTGCGAGTCTGAGAGATGTGAGAGTGTGTGAGTGTGCGAGAGTGAGAGTGTGAGAAAGTACTAGTGTGAGAGTGTGAGAGAGTGTGAGAATCTGCTAGTGTGAGAGTGTGCGAGTCTGCTAGTGTGAGAATGTGCGATAGTGCGAGAGTGACAGTGTGTGAGTCTGCGAGAGTGTGTGAGAGTGAGAGTGTGCAAAATTGCGAGAGTGTGAGAATCTGCTAGTGTGAGAGTGTGCGAGTCTGAGAGATGTGTGTGAGTGTGCGAGAGTGAGAGTGTGAGAAAGTACTAGTGTGAGAGTGTGAGAGAGTGTGAGAATCTGCTAGTGTGAGAGTGTGAGAGTCTGCTTGTGTGTGAATCTGTGAGAGTGTGCGAGTCTGCGAGAGTGAGAGTGTGTGAGAGTGTGCGGGAGTGAGAGTTTGAGAGTGTGCGGGTCTGAGAGTGTTAGAGTGTGTGAGAGTGAGAGTGTACGAGAGTGAGAGTGTGCGACAGTGAGAGTGTGCGAGAGTGAGAGTGTGCGAGAGTGTGAGAGTGTGTGAGAGTCTGCTTGTTGAGAAGTGTGAGACTGCAAGTGTGAGAGTGAGAGTGTAAGTGTGTGAGAGTAAGAGTGTCTGCTTGTGTGAGAGTCTGAGAGTGTGCGAGTCTGCGAGAGTGAGAGTGTGTGAGAGAGTGTGCGGGAGTGAGAGTTTGAGAGTGTGCGGGTCTGAGAGTGTTAGAGTGTGTGAGAGTGAGAGTGTACGAGAGTGAGAGTGTGCGACAGTGAGAGTGTGCGACAGTGAGAGTGTGCGAGAGTGTGTGAGAGTCTGCTTGTTGAGAAGTGTGAGACTGCAAGTGTGAGAGTGAGAGTGTAAGTGTGTGAGAGTAAGAGTGTCTGCTTGTGTGAGAGTCTGAGAGTGTGCGAGTCTGCGAGAGTGAGAGTGTGTGAGAGTGTGCGGGAGTGAGAGTTTGAGAGTGTGCGGGTCTGAGAGTGTTAGAGTGTGTGAGAGTGAGAGTGTACGAGAGTGAGAGTGTGCGACAGTGAGAGTGTGCGACAGTGAGAGTGTGCGAGAGTGTGTGAGAGTCTGCTTGTTGAGAAGTGTGAGACTGCAAGTGTGAGAGTGAGAGTGTAAGTGTGTGAGAGTAAGAGTGTCTGCTTGTGTGAGAGTCTGAGAGTGTGCGAGTCTGAGAGTGTGAGAGTTTGTAAGAGTGTGAGAGTTTGTGAGAGTGCAAGAGTTTGTGAGAGTGCGAGTGTGAGAGTTTGCGAGAGTGAGATTTTGCTGGTGTGAGAGTGTGCGAGTCTGCGAGAGTGTGCAAGTCTGAGAGTGTGAGAGTGTGCGAGAGTGAGTGTGAGCGTGTGTGAGAGTGTGCGAGAGTGTGAGTGTGCGAGAGTGTGTGAGAGTCTGCTTGTGTGAGAATCTGAGAGTGTGCGCGGCTGAGAGTGTCAGAGTTTGCAAAAGTGTGAAAGTCTACTAGTGTGAGAGTGTGTGAGAGTGCGCGAGTCTGTGAGAGTGTGCGAGTCTGAGAGTGTGAGAGTTTGCGAGTGTGAGAGTCTGCTGGTGTGAGAGTGCAAGTCTGAGAGTGTGAGAGTTTGCGAGAGTGTGAGAGTCTGCTGGTGTGAGAGTGTGTGAGAGTGCGAGTCTGAGAGTGTGCGAGTTTGCGAGTGTGAGAATTTTGAAAGAGTGTGAGAGTCTGCTGGTGTGATTGTGTGAGAGTGTGCGAGTCTGAGAATGTGCGAGTCTGAGAGTGTGAGAGTTTGCGAGAGTGAGAGTGTGTGAGTCTGAGAGTGTGCAAGAGTGAGAGTGTGAGATTTTGCGAGTGTGAGAGTTTGCGAGAGTGTGAGATTCTGCTGGTGTGAGAGTGTGAGAGTCTGCGAGAGTGTGCAAGTCTGAGAGTGTGAGAGTGTCCGAGAGTGAGTGTGAGCGTGTGTGAGAGTGTGCGAGAGTGAGAGTGTGAGTGTGCGAGAGTGTGAGAGTCTGCTGGTGTGAGAGTGTGCGAGTCTGCGAGAGTGTGAATCTGTGAGAGGAGTCTCTTGTCCTTGGCTTGAGTCTATGTTGATGTCAATGTGAGAGTGAGAGTGTGAGTGTGCAAGAGTGTGTGAGAGTCTGCTTGTGTGAGAGTCTGAGAGTGTGCACGGCTGAGAGTGTGAGAGTTTGCGAGAGTGTGAGAGTCTGCTAGTGTGAGAGTGTGTGAGAGTGTGCGAGAGTGAGAGTTTGTGAGAGTTTGCGAGTGTGAGTTTGCGAGAGTGTGAGATTCTGCTGGCGTGAGAGTGTGAGAGTGTGCGAGTCTGTGAGAGTGCGAGTCTGAGAGTGCGAGAGTGAATGTGAGCGTGTGTGAGAGTGTGAGTGTGTGAGAGTCTGCTTGTGCGAGTCTGTGAGAGTGTGCGCGGCTGAGAGTGTCAGAGTTTGCAAGAGTGTGAAAGTCTGCTAGTGTGAGAGTGTGTGAGAGTGAATCTGTGAGAGTGTGAGAGGAGTCTCTTATTTTTGGCTTGAGTCTATGTTGATGTCAATGTGAGAGTGAGAGTGTGAGTGTGCAAGAGTGTGTGAGAGTCTGAGAGTGTGCACGGCTGAGAGTGTGAGAGTTTGTGAGAGTGTGAGAGTCTGCTAGTGTGAGAGTGTGTGAGAGTGTGCGAGTCTGCGAGAGTGTGCAAGTCTCTTATCCTTGGCTTGAGTCTATGTTGATGTCAATGTTTCTGCTCCAGCCCTTTTTAATCATCACACACCCTGTGAGACATCAGATGTCACAACATATTATGTCAGAACTAGTCTCTCTCTGCTCGGTCAATAAAGCAGACAAGATTTATAACAACAAACACTTCAGCCCCAACAGGCATACCGTGACATCACATAACCAAAGAAGGATTTACTGATGAGATCAGCTTGAGGAAATCTAGTTTCACATTGTTGGCCTGGGTATAGTTTGTAAGACGGGTTTGCAAAAATTGTAAATTTGATTGGCCCATATGGAGTTTATTGGTCAGTAATGCTTGTGTAGTCCGTTATTTTGAAGATCTGAACTAGTAAGCAAAAGGCTACATATCGATTCATTCGTTTTCTTGATGTAAGCATTAAAAAATCCTTCCAATACAACTTGAAATAGAAGTTGTAAATGATTAATCGCTTGTGATTGTCAAAAAGTTGATCAAACAATACACTGATATGCATATCAACAGCACATCAACAACTTCCTGATTGAAGCCGGTGTTAATTATTCATTGATGCCCCTCTTTGACCCTCTTAAGGAATGTGTGGATGTTGTTATTCAAGGTGTTTGTATTGTTGCACGTTAATGAATAAAGGCTGACCAGCATGAAATGTAGTAAGGAGGGCAGTTTCAGTAAATGAAGGTCAATAAGAATCTACTGTAACTGAAAATGTAACCGTAAGGAGTAATTTTTTGTTTGGTGATATTTTTCTGAACTCTTAAACAGTACGTTGAATTGTGTTTGGTTTGACTGAATTTCTGTATCGGTACAAGAGATTTGAGACCTTTGGCCTTTTAAGACTAAAGCACACAAGGAATTTCTGAGACTTGTGAAGTTTGTCTGAGCACTGAATGAAATCCATGCCCATATTTTCTACTGTATTTTAATACTGATATAAACTGTAAGATTCTCTAATAACTACATCCTGCAGTTTCCCGGCATACCTCACACGGTAGAAGTCTGACACTTTCAGGAAAGATACAGTTATGAAATTAAAATGAAACATTATGTGGTCAAAACATTGACCACACTGGCATAAGCAAAACTATCTCGAATCAAAAAGAAGCGGAAAGTTTTAAGAGTTCAGGGGATTTCTCAGTATCGTGACACAATGCAGACAGTACATTTTTGATAGTTTCCATTTTCCGTCATCAGCACTTTAATAGTAATTTGTCATTACACAAATAGAAAAAAAGCGAACTTTAGGTTTTTAAGATTGTGTAAAAAGCCTGTTTAGGCCTGAAAAAGGGAAGTTTAGATGTTTAGAATAGTTTAAAAATCTATCACAAAGGTTAACAAAAAGTTAACTG